ATTGAGGCCTGAGATTGTTCGGGGGCGGAGGTTGACCGCGATGGGTCGGCCTTTTTGGGGCCCCAGGGAAAGATTGGAGGCTGCAAAGGCTGTGAAAAGCCTGGAGGGGGCCGAAGAGGGCTCTGAGGGCGCCTAGAGGGTCTGAGAAAGGCCCTGATGGGGCATTCTTTAATAGAGAGCCGGGAATGACCTGTCATTGACCGGGCCTACTGGGACGAGGATGAGGTGCGCAGGGGCAGTCTCTGTAGTTTGCCGGGTGGCCTATTTGTTGACACAGGACGAACGCGGGTGGGGATTCGGCATCTTTGGGCCGAGGACACTCTTTCGAGTTATGGGATCAAGGCACTTAACGCACCTGTGTGGGGCGTAGCGGTTGCCCGCTGCGTGACCATAAAGTTGGCAGCGGTGGCACTGCGCCGGGAAACCGCGCCTATGTGGGGGCTCAACCCTCACTTTCGACAGGCCGCACACTGTGCATACCTGCCGGAAGATGGCTTTTGCCTCCGGCACGTTTGTTAGAACTACAAGAGCAAGCGGGAACCTCTTGCCTTGGTTATTGTGCATTTTGTGCACGGCCTCTACAGGAAATCCTTGGGACTTATGGTTCTCCAGGATATCCTCTTTGGAGAATTCGAATGAAATGCCGCGGATCACTGCTCTGTACCTTAAGCTCTTCAGAGAGAGCGTACGTTTGGTAGGACACACGCTCGGTGGTAAACAGCCTGGTAAGGCGGCGAAAGTCGTCGATCGACTGGGGTAGGATCTTAATAGCGACACCCATGTTGGTGGCTTGATCTTACTTTATTCCTGCGTCGTAGCAGATCTTGGATAGACGGGTGAATTCTGCCTTGTCTCTGAGGAAGACAGGGGGCGGGACTTGCTTCTTTTCAAGTGTAGGGGCACAGCGGGAAGCTAGCTTAGAAGATGAGGGGATGTCTAACGACATTAGGGGAGCGTGGGCAGCGGCGGGGGCTGCGGGCGCACAGACTGCATCGGGGGCTGCGGGGGCTGAGGCAGCGGCGGGGGCTGCAGGAGTGGCAGAGGCCGCTGGGACGGGGAGGTGCGGTTTTTTGCAGCGCGTTTAGTGCCGCGCTTGGAGTTCACCGTGGTGAACGAAGAATCCCCGGTTCCGTCGGAGTCAGAGGACTCCGATGTACCGGTGCCAGACTTGGTGGCGGACCTCTTCCGGGAGGCCGACGCAGAGGACCCGGAGTCGGAGTATGCGCACTCCATATCTAGGGGGGAAAGAATTCCTAGTCTCTAGATAGGCCGCGATAACGGGCGGCGGTTGGTGGCCTGAGGGGCAGGGGGGAGCGACATGGGCAGCGATGGCGGCTAGGGCCATCTCATCCAGATTTAGGCCCAGACCAAGAGTTTGGACTACAAGACTGTGGACATGTTGATGATAGGTGGGGACGACGTGTTCGAAACGGTAAGGGGATACTGTTCTGAAAAGAACAGAGTACGTTCTACACCAAGGCAGTAAGGGCGGGATTACCGTTCTCAAAAGAACGGAGACGTTCTAATTCAAGGAGTAAGTACCCCTGTTCTCAAAAGAACAGGGCCTTGCTCTGAAAAGAGCAAGTAACTCCCCAGAAACAATTTACACGTTATAAAATAAATTAATAACAAAAAACAAAAATTAACAATAAAAATAACAGAAACTTAACAAGCACAGACCAACAGTCAAACCTCCCCGCCCGAAGACAGGAGGGCAAGAACTGAAATTAGCGTTAAAGAACTCACCCGGCGTCGGCACTGTACAGCGTGGGCAGGACAGCGGAGGCCCGAGAGCGAGAGGGCACTAACGTACGGGGACGAAAGCGCGGACTAACTGAACTCAACCGCTCGGAAGCGACGGCGCAGGCGGAATGTTTTTATTTTTTATTTTTGCAGTCTTTAACGGCGGGTATAAGTGTAGATAGCGACAGTGGTCGGGCGAGAGGTGAATAGCCGCGACGACATTTTCAATCCCATTCTTTAACAGCACGGGTAGTACTGCACAGATGGCTAACGTTGGTTTTGACTTGCCGTCGTGGCCAATATTCCAAATTTTTTTATCATTACTAGATAAAAAGATGCAAACAAGCCGAAATACCTATAACGCGTTTAAAAATAAAACACTCCTTTTTATTGAATTCATTATTTTTTGTACATTTTATTCTATTTCGTTAACATCTTACAATGATTTTGTAGAGACGTAAATCTAGATCGAGTAATTCTTATAACACAACCGCATTTTTTTTTGGTTTGATTAAGAAATAATCAATAAATTACAAATATACAAGTAAATGGTCTTTATCATTCATTTGTTGCTATCCAATTTCTATAATCTTTCATTATTAATTATTTACATTTGATATTTACAATCTTAAGAAACATTTACACGCTAATATTACATTTACTTAATAACTTTTTTATCGTTGTATTTGATAGATTTATAGGTACCTTACATTTTATCGTATAAAACCACACGAAAATCAATCAGTATACTTAGGTTCTCTAGAAAAAATATTATTGACTAGCTGTGCCCGCGACTTCGTTCACATTGATTCTTTGTAAGTAATTTATTTGTTCTGAAGTATTTATTACTTTGAACTTATTTTTAATATTTCATAAACAACAACAACAACTGATACAATATTATATTTTATGTATATAGGAAGTAATTTCATCATAAAACTGATTAAGTGTACGGATAACTTAAACACCGAGGGCACTGTATCCGTTCAACATTATTAAAAATATATTAAGTAACATAGACAAGCACTAAGAAAATATAAAAAAAAAATAAACTAAGGAAGAGGTTTACAATTACTCTGACTTATAAAAATATGGAGTTTCGTAACATTGCAAATTTTAATGATAAGGAGGGAACGATAATTCGTTTGTCATGTAGTGGCGGCGTCAATGAATCCATCATCTTCGTCGTCATCGAATCTTTACTTCCCAGGTATAGTAAAAAAGTGTGACTATTGGAAACGCCAGAAAAATCTAATGGTTTTCGATATATAGCAGTATAACCATATCAGTTACGTCAGAAACCAGATATAAAATATTCAGACCGGCTACTTCTTGTATTGCGATAGTCGATCTGCCTGCCAACTGTGACAGTTATGGCAAATCACCTATAGTCTTGGAGATGACTGACGATAATGATGTCTCTGATGATGATAAAGAATAAGAAGAAATTGTTCTTTAGACATTATTGTGTCAAAAATTAATGCAATAGAATTATTCAGCCTCTGACCCCCTTCAAACCACCCCTGCAAGTCGCGGTGTTTATTGTCATTGCATAGTTTTTAGTGTTTCGTTTTATGCGAGTTCGTGGTATAAAATATACTCTCATCAAGAAAACGCTTGCTGTAAATTTTACAGTACAGATATTTTAATTGCAATTTTCAGCGCTGATTTACCACGCGCTTGGCGGTGAGGTAAAAATCGTAAAGGTTTTCTTATGTCCGATAAATTAATTCTCTTTAATGACGCGTGAAGTCCATGAAGCCAAAGTCATTTTCTTGCCCCAAAAACTCTCTGAGAAATGAGAGGAAGCCAGTGCCTAGAACATATAAACATATAGAGGTTATTAAGTTATATTTTATTTGGCGTAAAACATCTTTATTTTTGCCCTCATAATGGATAGGTGATATTTTAAAATAAAATACACCGTAAATCTTTGATTTGATTGATATACTAGCTCTACATCACAATATCCTTATGGTTAATATATTTTAATGAATACATAACAAAGTTTACTTTAGTATATGAGTTATTTCGTCTTTGAGTTATATAAGTATCATCAAAAATAATTATGAAGATATATTTAGCAAATAAAAACACATTTTTGCTTAAATTTGTTCAACCCCATTTATGGAGGACCTGATTAACTATTTTACTTTTTCTTACTACAATTATAATATGTTAATATTGGTGAGAAAACTTATTCTTTTTTTTTTGTTTACCGTGTTTTAGTTGTCATCATCGTTATGGAATATTACCTTACTTTATTTAATAAGGATTTATGTAATTATATTTAAATTCACCCAATGACTCAATGCAGCCATGGAACCAATTCTTCAAAATAATAATCATAACTTTTGATAGAATAACCGATTTTAATAAAACAAAGACTAAAGGTAGCTCGCAGATATGCCTTACGATTATTAACGATTCTCTTCAAAAATATTAGTATCTTCTTTAGAGGTGATGCTTTCACAAACAATCAGACAGACAAACAGACAATTCTAAAAATGAAAGAATTTTTTTAATTACTTATTATTAGTACATAGCAATAATTTTTGTAACAAAAATTTACATTGTACAGACGTCTGCAATTTACATGTTTATTATTATATTATGTAGTACTTATTATATTTAAATCATTTTTTATACAGTCAATAATTTTTAGAACTTATACTAAAATGCAGAAGAATAGTGTAAGAAATATAGCAAACAAAAACAAACCTTTTTGTATCAAACGCGACAAACGATGTCTACGAAAATAATTGAACCCATGTGAATACATTTTTGAGAGTCTCATAATATTGATACTGTTTCAATACATAAAAACCTCAACTTTTTTGACAAGGCAAGGGAGATAAAATCTAAATTATAACAAAATATTATTTAAGAATATGTATAAATAATTCATTTCTGTAAGCAGTGAGTTATCGCTTAAGATTTGATTATCTGAATAACTAATTTATTGTTTTCAAATAATATAAGTAATTTAATTAAATAGCTGATTTATTTTAGATTAAAATGTGCACTACTTCAAAGTTAAACTAATGTATCATGTCTGATATCAAGTTTCAGAATAAAGTTTTAATAATATAAATGATAATAACCGACATCTTTACAAAACCAAAAACAATTATTTCATTTTGGCATTAATTCAAATTATGATAATAAAAAAATTATACTGTTTGAAGCCAAATACAGTTTGTTATAAAGGATTCCACAAAAATGTCTTATCATAAATCATATACTTATTAATATAGTCACCTAGAATCCAATATTAGTGAAAAAGTATTATGAATAATAAAATTCATAATAACATTTACAACGAAAATGAATAAAGCCAAAGAAAGAATTGATATATAATGACTTAATACTAACATACCGAATGATGAACGTGAAACGTTATTCATAGAATATCTTGTAAATAAAGATGAGCCAAAAATATTATCCAATCGTGGCGGATTAGAACTGGAGCTCTGCATTGCTGCTGGATGTTCGCCGCTTAAAACATGTACGATCACCGATGCAGACTCTGGATGAGGAAATAGATAATTTTAAAGAATGAATGAAATGAATCTGATTTTAAGAAAAAATAGTATTACAACAACTATAAGACTTATGTATTACCAGTAATAGAGAAAGATGATTAGTAAAACTTACCAGAACTACTTGGTGCGCAAGTATAATTTCCCGAATCATGAGGTAAAGCGCGTGCAATAAGCAAACGGCTTGTGCGGGTTCGCTGCTCAGTTACAACGCTGATACCTCCCCGCTGTGCGTAGTTTACTACTTGATCACCGCGATACCAGTAAATGAAACTGTAACATACAAAATATATTTATTAATTTAGATAAATATGCTATACATATTGTGTATGGCAATTTAATCAAAGATTTAATAAGTCATCCAGATTGACATATATTGATATAGTGCAAGTTATATCTATCCTGTATACAACTTAACTGGTGTATATGTAGAAAGAAGAATAAAAGAAATACATTCAGGACTAGAGAATCCAGACCAGGCATCTAATGTTTATTGCAAAAATGTCTTCACCTTTGACGGTGGCGATGGAGAATGTGGCGAAAGATCTGTCTGATTGTCTCCACTTTGTATCGGAAAAAACCTCACTTACTTGTGGTGGTGGATTCAAGGGAATCGACTTTTAATGCAAGACTCGTAACTTTAAATATTATAACTTCATCTTTTTGTTATATGAACACAAAAGTTTCGTCTCTAATCTAAATGTACAATGGGCGTGTGTAAGTGTACCTACATCGTGGCATTCTCTACCTGTCGACCCTGGGCGAATAAAAAAAATTCAGGTGCTAAAATTCCAAAAGCACAGTTTTTTTTTATAGAATAGAGTGATAAACGAGCACACAGTCCACCTGATGGTAAGTGGTTGCTGCGGCGTATAGACATCTACACCTATCCTCGTTTGCGAATCAGAGAGCAGATGCGTTGTCACCCGTGAGGACTAAGATGGAATGCCTCAGTTCCGGTTCTCTACACTCACCATACGAAACACAGCAGTGTTGAGCTGCTATTTTACGCTGGTATTCTGTGAGAGCGTGGTCCTTCCCTGGTCGAGCCGACCCATTTGTGCCACAACTATACTACTAATATAGCTGCAACATGGCTCTACCACGTAAAAAAAAATTAAGTTAATTTATGAGATAAAAGTTAATATTAATAAGATGCAATACATTATATACTAGGTGTTAAGATTCCTTTTCGGCTAGATTCCGTCTGGGTAAGTACCACTCTCTTTCCTACTTCTGTCACCAAATAGCAGTATTTGTAATTCTGTGTTCCGATCTGATGAGTATAGAGAGCTTGTGTAGACTATGAGGCATTCCATCTCAGTCCTTAAAAGTTGCAACGTCTGTAGTCATATAGTCATATAGTCATATAGATGGTATGGACGATACCAATTAAGTCAAGTTAACTTTATGTTCGTTTATCACTGCAGTTTTATAAAAAAAAAACAATGTAGTTGAATAAAATATTTGATATTAACACAATTTATCAGTTATAAGTAAGGTATAAATAAACATAATTAACGACTGATTGTATACATTTTAATGTATAAAAAGTTAAAAAGAAAAAAGGCATCTAAATGAATCTATAAAATTAAAATACAAACACATAAAACAAAAGAGAGAAATATAAAGTAGTATTAATCCGATGGAGTTTATCTATAAATAATATTGTCAACAAAGGCTTGCCCTTAAAAAAGTTCTAATTTGCAACTTTTTTGATACGAACAGTAAAGGTCAAGTTTAAACAGGGTTCTAAATCAAATAAAGTGCCAGAATAATACGAAAGTTATGTTTTTAACGAATGAAAGGCCTTTCATTTGAACTTGGAACGGTAAAAGGAAACGTGGCCATACTTTCTCAAGCCTGGTGAACCATATGTAATAACTACTACGCTTTACTAGGCGTAAAGTGTAAAATATCAAGATTTTTTTTATTGCACTATCGTAAAATCCTTTGTGAGTGAGCATCTACATTGCGAAATATACTAAATTTCAAGGCAATCTGGTGTATAGTTTTAGAGATTTTGTGATGGGTCAGTCAGTCAGTCAGTGTTATTTCGCTTACATATATAAGAAGATTGTGGATTTATTTTCAGCTTAAAAAATGGCAATGTTTGAGGAGGCGCTTCAATTTATCCGGGAGAGTTTGCGATAGATCTGGGTAACATATATCAGCATAATCCATACTGTGAAATATCAAAATCTAAACGTATGTTTCGCTTATATATAGAGAGCAAGAAGATCTTAAAACGACAAAGGGAAAGCAAGGCGGCAATAATAAAAATGTTCTCAGGTTAAAGTAAATCTCTTATATAATACTCAGCTTATACAATAAAGATTTAATAATACGTAAATTTGTCGCTTTAGAAGTTTGGCGAAAATTTATGTATTATAGATATATATATATATATATATATATATATATATATATATATATATATATATATATCTGAGGGATTTTTAATAGTTTAAAAAACCCTTAATATCTAAATATATGAGGCAGTATCTGAAATATAATTATAAAAGTATGTGTATCATAGAATATTGTAATAAAAAATGTATAACTATGCGCTAATAGAAAAAATGATAAATGAAGTCTTAGAATCCATTCTATGTCCATATTTGTTAAAGTTACAATATTTCCAACACATTGTTTCTACGCTTTTAATATGCTTACCTTGGTGGGTCAGGGGCGTGTTTTGTAACACAAGTGAGATTAATGTCCGATCCAGCTCTAACAAATAACTCGGGTCCCGATAATATTTCAGCCTTCGATACTGTTGAAATTAAGAAAATATTATCATTGGAATAAAACTAATTTTACGCATTTTATCGCGTTTAATTTAAACTTTTTTCCGACGTTTCGGGCACCTTCCATGGTCACTGGGGAGGGGGGGGGGGGGGGTGTTATCATAGTTAACGAAGGCTACTTTCAAATTTTTATTATTAATTTTTGATACGATCTGAGCATACAGCTTACAGTATTTTAAAGTCTTGCAGTAGTATGCTTGAGCTTGGATTTAATTTTATTAATTATGGGATCCCAAGCAGATAGTAGCAACCAGCCACCTTCTATTCTAATCAATTGAACCTAGTCTATTCTCTATTGAAACTAGGATGTCTTTTTTTATTATTTGAATAGTCTCGCGAAGCATTCTTAGCAGGAATCGGTGTTATTTTTGGTGCTGGAAGGTGCCCGAAGTCGGGAATTAAAAAGGGAGAATTAAACGCAATAAAATCCTTAAAATTAGTTTTATTTCATAAGTGGTATTCGTGTTAATATAAGAAATCATTAAAATGTATCACTTATCTTCGATTTGTTTTACTTCATAAAATAACATTTAATATTGGTGTAGAGGACAATTACATTTCATTACAATTCACAATGTGTTTGTTCAGTTTTTATACTAACCAACGACAGTTAGACGAAATGAGAGGCTAATCTTTGGTTCCGTCGATACTTGACACTCGTAAGCGCCAGAATCTCGAGGCTGAGCAGGTGATATTCGCAGCGTCCATTCATCCGAACCATCCGCATGGAGTGCCGCAAAACGAGCATCACTACTATAAGTATGAACACCCACAGTCAAAATGTGCAAATCACGCTTCCGTATCCAAGAAACCTGTGTACAAGCAAAAAAGGCATTGTTAAAAATGTACCTTTTCTTCCTTATCCCGGATCAGTATGTTGTTAACGCAACGTATCTTGTTCAATATTAAAATATTTTCTCTTTGGATTTACTTGTTTAGTTTTTGTTGTCAATTATTTGAACGATATCGCTGATATATTTAATTGGGTACGCAATAACTTAATAAGGGTGACCTTTAACCCCAAACATTTTAACGAACGGTGAGCATTTTATATTGTTTTTAGTTAATAATGATTAGAATAATAAATATTTTTATATAAATTAAAACGGTTAGCAGATAGATAATGTTTTAGAATGAAATTATGTTCCATCTGATAATATGTGACTACTGCAGCTAAGATATCCATTAACTGCATTGTTTAATCAAAGAAGGCAAAACGTGTGTAATCACTTCTGAGGACAATAATGAGCTGTCTGTGTAGGTACCACACTGTCACCTATTTCTGCCGCTAAATATTAGTGCTTTTTTTTTAGAATTAGGATCACAAACGAGTACAAATTCCATCTTATGGTTAATGAATACTGTGGCTAATAGACATCTAGATTTATCCTCGATTAATAATCAAAATTTAGATCCCTGAGGAATAAAATGTAAGACCTCGTTTCCAGTAAACCCACCATCCAACCCATTCCAGTAAACCAACCACCATACGAAACACAGCAGCATTATGCTGTTATTTTACGCTGGTATTCTGTGGGAGCGTGGTCGTACCCTGGTTGAGCCGACCCATTCGTGCTACAACCATCATATAGCTGCAGCGTGGTTCACTGCCGTGTTCCGGTCCGAAGGATAAAAAGAGGCAATATAATGCAACACAATCATTTTAATGTTTGAAGTCGGCAGCAACTTTTCATGGACTGTATTAGCCACTTACCATTGTAAATGTTAGACCATTTGTCACTTACATTTTTTTTAAATAAAGCCGGCAAGGAACAGAATGTGAATTAATCCCGTGTTTTTTATTAAAGATGTTAAAATTAATTAATTAGCTCTCCAAACTAAATAAGACACATTATTTTCACGCGGATATCAGCTAATTTACTTCATTTATTGGATTTACGCAAAGGAAAGCCTGGCCAGCGTTTGTCCTTAGATAAAATCTGTAGCAAAAATAAAATTAAATAACTTTTATGGAGACAGGAGAACTGTTAATATATTAGCTTCTATTCTAAACGATCTTCCAGAAAACCTTAAGGACGAATTGACAGAAAAAAACTTAAAATATAAAATTAAGCATTATGTACTAGAAAACCTGAATTGTCTTCCTTAATAAATTCTCAAATGATATTAAATCTATATGTATATAGATGTATGTGTGTATGTGTGTATATATATAGGTATATATAAAATTATTTTATTAAATAATTATTTAAAAAAGAATTTGCTATAGAAATCAGCCTGTATATGTATGGTATACCGTACACGCTCATCGCGGTAAACTAGTGAAACCTGTTTGTCGTCATGTCACTAATACAATGAATAGGTTGTTAGTTGTTATCATACTTAACTTTATCAATTATACGATGGTAGTTATTAAAAATAATATATTTATGCGTATAGACGTCTGCAAGCACCAATACAAACCGTTTTGCGGTTTAATGGTGCTGTATAGTAACTATGCACTATTGTAATATGTTTTATGTATCATTAAATAAAAAAAAATATAATATTTTACCGTAATATTGCTACCTTTAGGAAATACTATAATTAAATCAAAACGCTATAACTTGTACTACTTATTCAGTAGCTAATGTTTCTAGTGGAAAATCATTTGACTTTTTTATATATTTACTTTGAAATCTAAAGGCATGCTTAATATGTTAAGGGTATAGAGGGAAATACTTTTAAGATTGACGGACGCATAACCATCTCTTGATGAAGCCACATAAGAAGTATCCAGACTGCTCAGGAGAAGCAGCTTCATATACAAAAGATATTTGGCATTTGTAGTGGGAGCTAAAAAACACTAAAAGTAATACTAAACTTCAACATTATATTTTAAAGTAATCCATATCCTATATACCTTGTTATGTCTTACGTCTCTACCGTATTTCATTTCAATCCGCTTAGCCCTTAAGGGAAAAATATTCAAAAAGACCAAGTTTCATATTTATAATAACTACCTATTTAATAATAACGTCCTAAATGCCCACTACATGTAGTGGCTAAAATACCCTGTAATATCTGTACTAAACAAGGATCGAAGTAAGGGTAAACGGATTTATTTGATTGTACAAGTATGTCGACCGACAAAAAGTCACACATGCACGTACACAAGCACGGGTGTAGTGTTGTTCCATATTTTTAGTATACTACCAACGCGGGCATTTGCAAGGGTGATCATTGTACTTATATTGTATTTTCTGTATTTATAAAAGGTGTTTTTCATGTTTTGCAGTATGTCTTTCGTTTAACCGAATATTTGTAATCTATGTTTCAACCTGTATAATACTCGTATAAGCTGATATTAGTCTATAAAGAGAAATTAAACAATAATATAATATTATAAAGTATTACTTACAGATCTATCAGCAAGATTCCTTACTCGGCAGTGCAAAAATGCCGGCTGTCCCACCGCTGCAGTGGTTTCGCGCTTCGTACTGTTGTCGAAATATGGCTGCCCCAAAGGCTCCCAACTTCCTGAGCGGGCTGACACACCTTTACAATTTTACAAAATATTAAAATATAAACCAGGGCTCGTACTTTTAGGTAAGTAAAAAGCACACAAACGCTTAACCATATCTGTTAATAGAACTATTCTATTCTTTGTCAACGTTTCACTCAGTTATTTATTGGATATGTGCTCGCTTTAACATCCCTTAACCGGGCGCTCGCTTTTATTTATCGGAAATTTTTGTGTACCTGACTGCTTTTGTCTAATGATTATAGTTTTTAAATAATTTTCGTCGTTTACACATGTTATTATTTTGGTAGCAGTCACAGGATATGATATCTCATTACGTGGTAGAGCCATGCTGCAGCTATATTATGGCACGAATGGGTCGGCTCGAACGGGGAAGGACCACGCTTTCACAGAAAACCAGCGTAAAATAGCAGCTTCACGCTGCTGTGTTTCGTATGGTGAGTGTAGAGAACCGGAGACCCTTTTTACTGGCAAAGAGGCATTCCATCTTAGTCCTCACGGGTGACAACGCATGTGCATCTTGAGTCTTTATTGAGGATAGATGTAGATGTCTATGGGTCACAGTAACCACTTGCCATCAGATGGACTGTGTGCTCGTTTGTCACCCGATCCTATAAAAAAAAACGTTACTTATATTATAAATATTATACTAAGTTACTTATATTATCCATAGTACTTTAGACAATTATCAATAATTCTTCTTTAGGTAGGTCATATTTTTGTGAACAGATGTAGACTTTGACTTTCATGACAACGTGGGATTCATAACTTAAAATAGCTAAGACCACCTGATCTTAATTTTTGATTAAAATAGCAAATAAATCAAGAGATAAGATAAGAGAGATAAGGAAAGTTACAAATTATGTATCAAAATACCGTATAGATTTTTTTTTAATTAAAAAAACGTTACCCCTACACTAGGATTTTCCCCTGTATCGTGGAGGCAGTTTACAAACATAAATTGCACGAGGACAAACATCCAGACCCGGAACAGTTATTTGTAGGCCATACAAATACTTGCTCCGTGCGGGATTTGAACCCGCGGCCCCCAGCGCAACAACTCATTGCTAAGCCAATGCGCCACAGAGCCGTCACGTTAAACTCCATAGATGATGACGGCGTATGATAGTGCTAACGTGGGTGTAGTTATATTTGACTACATGGAAATGCAGTAAGTTAACTTGAAGATGTAATAACCATCACTGATTTTAAGTTCATAAAGCTGTGATAGTTTAGACTACAAGCGCTTTCTTTAAATTTCTTAAGTCGTCAGCGTGCGTGATGAAGAAAACTAAAAGAAAAGAGATGTTTTGAGGAAATGTGAACTTCGCTTTTAATCCTGTCAGAAATTAAAAGCGCCGTGGGACTTTAATTGTTGTCGGAACACCGTCAAATGTGCGATATACGTCTAGTCCTGCCAGCGCCAATACCTGGCACTACGCGATGGACTAATGTACAGCAGTCCTTACAGGCTCATTATAATGATGTTGAAATTGTTACTGTTTTACAATATTTAAAGTATTTCAACCTTTTAAATATATTTTTATGTGTAGACAATTGGCCGAGTGGTAGTAAAACTAATCCTTATTCGAACACCAAACTTTAAATATTTTCAAATATCAATATTATTATCATTGAACAATGCATAGGCATTAATATGGAATGAGAGACACGCGAGAATGTAGCATTTTTGTTTTAAGTGTAGTCGTGTGTAATTACTCTTGTCTATCATTAAGTTAAAAATACTAAACAATTTTCGATTTGAAAACGTCCACAAAGAAATTTAAATGTCCCTAAACATTCTACAAGATTTTCGTAAATTCACACATAATATTCGGGCAGCTCAGGGAAAAGGGCGTTCGTTTATATAACTCACGCACACTGCACAAGATACAGACCAAATACTACCACGGAATTTCAGCAGCTATATTACAGTACTTGCACTGTTGTGTTCATAGAACACAGAGCGGAAACACCGCCAACTTTCTGACTGCGGGCTGCTGTTTAGAATTTTTTGATATAAGACCAAATAATTGATTTCGGCCAGACCCGCGGTTAGAATCTGGGACCACGTGATCTACAATCGCACTTACGACCAACGAGGAATAAAATGAGTTCTATTTGCAAATAATTTTTTTGTTTTTGGTCGAAAGCAATCAATTGCTGGATCCAATTAAATAAAACCTCAAAAAAGTGAATTTATTATTTCGCTAGAACGCAGTTCTTCAATTGTCAATCCGAATCGTTTTTGAAATATGCGGGATGTAAAAATTCTAAAACCGTACATTAGTGCATACATGTACAAACGAGTACGTACATTTACACAAACAAAAACAAAGGCGCGCGAACATAAATACATATACATCCTTTATATAAAATAAAATACAAAGTCATAAAACTTTATTTTCTAAATAAAGACCCATTACAAAAACTTCCAAAGGAGGGAAAAATCTGCATTTCCTGTGGTTAAAAAAACGTTTCAAACACACAATTTCATTGTGCTGGTAATGCAAGCTCACATACGCAACTGTATCCAATAATCACGCTCTAAGTATGTAGTAGAATCAATTAAAATTGAGTACTTTAAGAATTTATAAATTTAAGCTCTCTTGCGTACATTAATAAAGGTAGATTTCAACCTTGAATACCTGCCTCTAATAACCTTTTATTTAGTTGCTAGACTCAAAAGATTTAATATAATATCTCGGAATAAGCGCTAAGATACATTAGTCTCAATATTCCTTATTATTCGCGATTATAATGCAAAAGACTTTTAGCAGGTGAATAAAGGTTAAGAAAATGCAGATAGAAGAAATAATAATGAAATTTTAGTTTGTTGGTAGTGATAACAAAATATTAGATAGGTAGCAAGGTATGCGAGGTTTTGTGATAGGTACAGCAATCGCATTGATTGTTTTGAAATGAATGTTAACACAGTCAAAATTTTATTTAAAATGTATAATCGGCCTTGTAAAAAAAGTAGTATAATATTTAGTCTTATCCCCATTTCTTTAGTTAGAATGACTCTTCTTTACCATAGTTTAAATTTGAGACTATCAATAAACTATATTTTGCTTAATAAGATGGACAGTATGCAATACATACAATTGTCAGTCTTTCGAGAACCGATGCAGAAGAAACGAAAATAATAGCTCATTAACCGTTTCTAGTTAAAATACTAAAGAAACATTTATAAAAGAAAAACCTTATGCTGTAATTACTCCTTATGCTTTTACTCCTCCACATTTATAAAAGAAAAACCTCATTCTTTAATCTAGGTACTTGTTACAAATCCGATGCGTAAGAGTAAAATAAGTCAGGATTAATAAAGACTTAACTAAATATAGTATTTTACCTTCATAATCGAATCTCATCTATATGCATTCATCTTTAGTTTAGGTAAGGAAAAGCCTTTACCTAAACTATAGATGTGAATGCATAAAAATCCATTACTTCATTGTTTCCCGAAGGTATTAATAAAATCGATAAAAGTGAAAAATACAAACGATTGGGAGGTAAAGATTTTACGGTAACAATAACTGTACTGTATTAAAAGCAATTGCATACTTTGTGCTAGGAATAGCCAAAACAAAACCACCCAAGGAATAACTTATGTAATAACAAGTATTAGATACAGTATCAGAAACTCCTACATACTATAACAAAATCGTATGTATTTTTATTTGTTCTCGCTCTTATAAAATAATTTCTATTTTAGCACAAATGTTGTCCCCAGCTGTTACATAGAGTACTCTGACCACTTAATATGTCGTCGCTGAAAATAGTTCTATTCCACTGACTGACATAATGCGATATTCTATGCTATTTGAAGCCATTAAATCTTTGCATATTTCATCAGATCGTCACCTTATCTAATGGGAAATCTTCCTATACTATTAAGTTTTTAACTGACAGACACATAAAATGCATCCACACATTTGATGTTTCATCATCTACACATTTGGTGTTGTCACACTTCTTAATAATTTTTACTAATTAAGCAAGCGTTTATAATTATTAGATTATATTATTAGAAGATTAATATATTTTATAGCAAAAGGCAGACAAACGAGCACACCGTCCTCCTGATGGTAAGTGGATGCTGAAAGCCCATAGACATCTACATCTATCCTTGATTAAGAATCAAAATGCAAATTCGTTGTCACCACTGAGAACTAAGATGCCTCGTTTCCAGTAAAATTCCAGTAAAAGAGGTATCCGCTTCTCTACACTCACCATACGAAACAGCAGTGTTCAGTATTCTGTGAGAGCGTAGTTCTACCCCGGTCGAGCCGACCCATTCATCCTACAACCATAATATAACTGCAGAGAGGCTCCAACACGTATTAAAGTGGTATTTGTACTAAATAATATAATAAATACCAGCGTTAAATAACACTTTAACGCTGCTGTATTTCGTATGGCGACTGTAGAGAAGCGGATACCCCTTTTTACTGGAAATGAGGCATTCCATCTTAGTTCTCACAGGTGACAACGCATCTGCATTTTGATTTGTAATCGAGGATATATGTAGATGTCTATGGGCCGCAGCAACCACTTACCATCAGGTGGACTGTGTGCTCGTTTGTCACCCTTATCCTATATAAAAAATAGTTAGTTTTTTTTGAAAGATTAAAATAAAGAAATACCTGTTTTACTAAGCAGTATTCTAATATCTTTTGACGTGAATACATCTTTAAATTTGCTTACATAGTTGGAAGCAATTCCGAAAGCTGATGACAACGAAATCGGGGGATACAATTTTGTGTACATATCTATCATCTACATATAAACTTTAATTACACTACTCGATAGCTAAGAGATCAAAAAATTCGTCACATTGGGTAAGGACTGTGACGCATCGCGCGCAACGTAGGCAGTAGCGTCGCAATTTTGAGTCGTATCGTTTTGTTTCATACACGTATTCACGTGCAACACACGGTCGTGTTCAGAACACAGCAAATCCCCGATTTTTTTATAAAATCTAATTGACAAACGTACTTACAGTCCTTGGTAAGTGGCTACTGCTACCCACCCACATCTGCAACCAATTTCAAACGTAAGGCTACAGATGCGTTGTCACCCCTGAAAACTAATATGTGCAATGACTCACAGCCTATAATTGTACTGGATCTCTATTATTAGTCTCTCTATTATTAGTCTCTCTATTACTGACTCTTTATTCATTAGTTTCAATCTTATTTATTTTATTTTTTATTTTATTTTTTATATTATGCTCTAAAATACAGCAGGTCTCGTAACATGGCGTGTCTCTTTGACTCAGAATATTAAATTATCAACTTTAATGAAAAAAAGTAAAAGTTGTCTTCCCCATAGAATAGTCAGAATAGTCAAATATCATGTTAATATTGTATGTGTAAGTGTATAGGTAGGTATTATTTAAATATATAGTAATATAACACTTATACACCTGTTAGCTAGGTTTAGTCTCAGTGTATGTGTGTTTACGTTATATATGTTAGCACTACATTTTAACTCGTAATTGTTAATAGATAACTATGAAATCGTATATAACTCGTAACACACACCAACTTGTTTGTGAAGTCAAAGAGAATATAACCACTACGTTTATGTGAAGTTACAAGGCTCCAACTGAAAACCAGCGCTGTATTTGCAGCATTATGCTGAGATGGAGACCTATTTGATGTCACATTTTCATATTTATTTATTTTTTCCTTTTTACTTTTTTGTTTATTTGTTTCTTTCATTATTGTGTATATACTGCTTCTCAATTGTAAATCCGTAAGCAGTATTAGACTGGTACATGCGTTCTTTTCCCCTTTGATTTTGTATATATCTAATATTATTTTTAATGTGTGTAAAATGTTTATATCAAATAAATAGTTCTTTCTTTCTTTCTCTCTATATTTTTCCTATTCAGACGGCGTCCTGAACAGAAAAGAAATATTACCACTTCTCATTATCTTTAATCAGCCGGAACTTTTTATTCGATAGCCTTTTTAAGTCAACTGTTCCACAAGAATGCGCTAGTTAGCAATCACTTGACCATAATCAACCATTTCACTGTAGTACTCACAGGTAGTAGTGTAGTACTCCATCAAAAGTTTATGAAATTAGGGTTCAGCGTTTTCGTATTGATTTTTCTGTTGATAGTATATTAACATGATCATCTCAGATATATGCCAAATTAAAGATTCCCCTCACCGATGGCTGAAAATATCTTTGAAAATACGCGCGGTACATAGTCGCAGAGATTCAAGCACAATGCGCTAGGAGGAGAGGTTTATGACTAGCTGTGAGCTTATGGAATGTAGCTCGGGCGTCATTTGAAAAGAGAAACACCGTGATACATTCAAAAAAGATCGATGGATGTAGGTTCTCTAATGTAAATACTCAGAATGGTATCGCAATTGACTGCACTAATGCAAAAAATGATTTTGGTACAACTTCAATTCTTCAAGATTTAAATTACATATATATTAATGAATACTGTGTTAAATAGCCTTGGAAGCACAAAGGCTATGCACTCGCTGTAAATTTTCAGAGGCAACTTGAGTAATATCTAAGTGCTCGGTAGTGAAGGAAAGCATCATCCTTGATGCTTTCCTTTACCTGCATATCTAAGAATTTAAAAAATATTAAGGAGAAACGTGAAGTCGCCAACACCTATTCGGGCTGTGCGGTGGACACTTCCCTAAAACACTCCCAGACCTGTATATAATAAGCTGTAACTTCACTATGTTTAATTATATATTAATGTCTACTACGCTCCAAGTTGTTTACCTAGGACAAATCATCCTAAAAGGTTAATGTAACTTCAACCAAAAGGTTCAACTCGGTTAAACGGCGTTCGGTAGATTACGATCAATCTTTAAGTCATGAATTCATCACAACTTAATAAACTTTTTTTTTATTGTAAGCCAGTGCTTGACCGCAAGCCCACCTGGTGGGAATAAGTGGTGATGCAGCCTTAGATGGTAAATCGCACTGACTTAGCGTAAAACATTGCATGCTGCCAGTGATCACGTATGAATCTTAGATGTTATACTTCTTTTTTTTATAGGATAAGGGTGACAAACGAGCACACAGTCCATCTGATGGTAAGTGGTTGCTGTGGCCCATAGACATCTGCATCTATCCTCGATTATGAATCAAAATGCAGATGCGTTGTCACCCGTAAGGACTAAGATCTCTCGGTCTCCGGTTCTCTACACTCACCATACGAAACACAGCAGCATTAAGCTGCTATTTTACGCTGGTATACGGTGAGAGCGTGGTCCTTCCCCGGTCGAGCCGACCCATTCGTGCTACAACTATACCAGTAATATAGCTGCAGCATGGCTCTACTACGTAAAAAATCACGTTCTTTGCTGGCCGTATAAAAATGCTTAGGAACGGCTACGGAGGGCTATGCTCGAAGTTTCTCTTTGTGATAGAATTCGTAAAAAAGACTGATAATATGATAATATCCGCAGTAGAACCTGAGTAAAAGACATAGCACAACAGATCAGTAAGCTGAAGTGTCAATGGGTCGGCCATATTATAGCTCAGTCCTGAGGTAAGCTGCCATTATATTATGGTTGTAGCACGAATTGGTCGGCTCGACCGGGACAAAACCGTACTCTCACAGAATACCAACGTAAAATAGCAGCTTAATGCTGCTGACTTTCGTATGGTGAGTGAAGAAAACCGGAGACCCTTTTTACTGGAAAGGAGGCATTCCGTTTTAGTCATCAGGGATGACAACGCATCTGCATTTTGATTCTTAATTGAGGAGAAATGCAGTTGTCTATGGGCCACACCATCTACTTACCATTAGATGGACTGCGTGCTAGTTTGTCACCCTTATTCTATAAAAAAATTACAACCGATGGGGAATAAAGATTTTCGAGTTGAAGTCTCGTATCTTTGAGCAAAGTGTAGAGCGCCCCCCAATTGATGGAGTGATGTCTTGATAAGACGCGCAGGATTCGATGGAGACAAATGTTCAGCAGAGGACTTGTGAAGGTCGTAAAGATGTTGGATGATGATAAATGCGATATTATCATTAAATCCCAATGCCTTAAACTTTTAAAATTTCGTATTAAGATATTTAAGGCTTCCATAGTTTTATCAGATTCCCAATTATCTACTTCAGCACATTTTTTGGAAAAAAATAATACTATTAATGCCAGTAACATAACTAATACTCCCGTCAACTACTCCAAGTAAGTTTAAAATGCTTGGGTTAGGAGTTATTCACAACAAATTGGGGATTCAGACCCGCTAGTGGCGATTGCAGTTTATTATCGCATGGTTTCCGTATAAACGGTACAGTAATGTAGAAATTAATACCCGTTACACTATACTGCGACCGTACCGTGATCGTAATGAAGCCGTGCAAATCCACACGGTCACGGATTCGTCACGTCAGACGCGTGTATAGTACATATACACGGACACAAGCACGTCATGGCAAGCTCGTCGTATTTTCGGCGGCCAAATGTTGTCTAAAATTACCTAATTGCTTGATCGCGTCTCTTTTTCTTATGTTCAATCCATCCGTCCATTACAATCTATAAAAGTCCACTGCTGAACAAAGGCCTCCGTCATAGATTGCCTCATGGGGAGATTTTCCCACAGTTGCCACGTTGGGCTAGCGCGTTGGCAACCGCAGTTTTTATTATTTTGAATTGTTATAAATACATTTATTCCAACTCTTACATGTACACACATGACAAATTACAATTAAAGGAAGAATGAAGTTATCAGGTAGTTAATGCTGCTCATCTCCTGTTTCATTTTCCCTCTGTTGCCTCTTACGACACCCTCGGGACGATATGGGGTAGAAGATATTCTTACACCGCCACTACACAGTTTTTTTTTTTATTTCGACACGGCGCATAAAAAGACAGTATAAAAGCAGTAAAATTAAGATCTTTTTCCAATTCATCATCACAACCATTCTGTGTATACTTAAACATATTAAACTGACCGCCTCGTTGTTTTAGTAGTCGCAGCACGACTGCTGATCATGAGGTCCCACGTTCGAACCCCGGGTCGGGCCAAAAAATCTGTTAAGAACTCAGTTTTTTGTCTAGAAAGTTTGAGTTACAGCAAATATGGCGGTCTTAAATCCCCCTGCTTCGGAAAGCACGTAAAGCCGTTGCGTTGGCCCAGCGTCTGATCTCTCTAGTCGTGTGAGATTGCCATCCCATCGAGCTGTAAGAGTGAGTAAATAGAGAGTCAATCTGAGCTTGTGCATACTCAGGCTTTATAATCCTTACCTGCGCAAATGGCTAGTTTCCGTTTTGATGGCCCCCTATTACCGAAATTCATTCTGAAGGACATTATAACATTAAACTGAACATACAGGCGGTACAGGTAACAAAAACTGTGTACGTGTGACAGATCTACGCATTTGTAAACAGTGATTGATCACGGTTTACGCGGAATAATGCTAATTTTCTATGCCCATTTATCAATAAAGTAAATAAACAAAATGTTTAAGAGTTGTTTTAGATCAACGACTATCTTGGTTTGATTAGAGAACTAAGTCGGCTTTTTAAACAGTTAGCTTCTAATAAACTATTTAAACAGATTTATATTTCTCTAATCCAATCTATTATCACTTATAGCATTCCTGTCTGAGGTGGAGCAGTGAAAACTAAATTTCTAGAAGTGGAACGCTCACAGAGATTACTTTTAAATGTCATGCATTTTAAACCTTTAGTTTTTTCAACCACCAACTTGTATCGAATGTGTAACTTGCTAAAAGTAAGATAATTATATGTTCTACATTCTATTCTAAAATTTCATAAAACCTTAGTATATTATCATAGCACTCAAAATAAAAGAAGAAAGGATATATTCGTAATTACTAAAAAGTAAATTCTGCTTCTTTTCGCCTTTTTCAAGGCGTCAATATGGAGCTCAAGTTTAAAATGTTATGTAATTTATTAAACAAAATAATAGATATCTATAAAAATACAACCGCACAGTGTAAAAAGAAATTAATTATTGGGCTTAAAACGTTAATTTATGAAGAAATTGAGAATTTACTATATTAAATTATTTGATAAAGAGTACACATACACACACAAATACATACCACACATACACACACACAATCACGCACGCGCGCACGCGTGTGTGTGTGTATGTGTAACGTATCTGTAACGCGCCAAACCTAATAAAAGAAACAACTTTATGACAAATTGGGTATTTATTTTTTGCATTATCTAAGAAGAAATAAATTATTGGTAATAAGTTTATATATATGATAGCGTGTGGCCTTCTGGCACCAGTATTTTAAAACTTAAAAGGAGGTCCCAAGTATAACACTGTATCAATTTACAATGTACTTATTACCCAATAAATATTATTATTTAAAAAATAAACTGATATCCTAAGCTACTCCTTGCACAACAATTGTCAGTTTAGTTGGAGTTAAGAAAGAACAGCTTTTATACGGCCCACTGCATGGTACAGGCCTGATCATTCTTCCCATTTCTGAGAGTATTTTTGGAACCGATTTAATCCGAAGTGCTACTGCTATCCATGTTTTTTTTATAGGATACTGTGGCAAACGAGTACACAGTCCACTTGATGGTAAGTGGCTGTTGTGGCCCATAGACATCTACATCTATCCTCGTTTGCGAATCAAAATACAGATGCGTTATTACCCGTGAGGACTAAGATGGAATGCCTCTTTTCCAGTAAAAGGGGTCTCCGGTTCTCTGCACGCACCATACGGAAGGCAGCAGTGTTAAGCTGCTATTTTACGCTGGTATTCTGTGAGAGCGTGGTCCTTCTCCGGTCGAGTCGACCCATTCGTGCTACAACTATACTACTAATATAGCTGCAGCATGGCTCTACCACATAAAGCCATGCTGCAGCTATATTAGTAAAAGTACCATGTTGTCGGACTTCAAAAATCAAGTATTCCTTTATGTTAAAAAATAATAAATAAAATACATATCGGATTTCGATAAAAATGTATTTCTAGGGTGGGTAATAACTAAATTCGTCGAAGAATATGATTTTGTAAGCAAAAACTTATAAATACGAGTAGAATAGAATTTTTTTTATTTAATACTAGCTGGTACCCGGCGTGTTACTGCCAGAGAAGAAATGAATGTAGAAATATTTTTTTTTTCAATTTGGAAAAGTTATATTACTTAATTACGAGTACTTTCAAATAAAAAATTCGGTAAGCTACGCGCGCCACCTACTGTAAGTTAATTGTACTATGCCTTTAACCTTCACGCAAGGGCAAGCAATACCTGTGTTTACAAAGTTTTACGGTAATCTAATGAAAGGTATGGCATAAACAAACTAGCATTAATTTTTATATATTAGACAGATTATTACATAATACATATTGAAAGTCATTTCTTGTTTACCACTGGTTCGGATAATACCTCTGAATGATCAGAAAATATATTATAGCAGAGATATCATTAATGGTCATGACTAAACAGGTCTTAATATACTAGGCCCGACATATACAAGCAGGTAACGAGCTGTCACGCACGACATTCGAAATGCATACCTTAACATTACTCCCGGTCGGGTCATTTGACGAATACGAGATTGTAGTTTCGAAATGTTTTGGAGGGCGTGAGATCTTCCATTAATTGTGCGTAGTTGAATATTTTACCAACTACGGTGCGAAATAAGATGCTACTATCACATAACAAAAAGTATGTATTGTGATATTTTTCATACAAGTTATGGTACGAGTACTAAACGAACAAGTACAGACCACTTATAGTAAGTGGATGCTGTTGAGACTAAAGACATCACCTAACCTCGATTAAGAATCAAAATGCAAATGGACTCTTCAGATCTAAGCAGTATGTAGTATTTGTTATTGAACCATGCGACTTCGTGCTTTTAATGATTCCGAAGCAAACTTTTTCTTTTTTGTCTCTGGTTTTATTTAGAAAATGTTTCGAATTTTGCAATTTTTTATTATATTTTTTATTGAATTTTGTATTATAGTATTACAGAGATAAAAAAAACTAACTGGTGATCTGACTGTATGTGACTACTGCATCCCATAGTGTGACGATTTGGGATTATTTTAACGGATGGAGATTCAAAGTTTCCTGTAAACGTTGTTTCCGCAGTCACAAAATTACACCAAGACGGCAAGAAACTACTCGCGGTCCTTTTTTATAGAATAAAGATGACAAACGAGCACACGGAGTAGTGTAGTAAGTGGACGTGTGGCCTATAGACATCTATTTATTTATTTATACACTTTATTAAACTAAAGGTACAAGCAGCGGACTTAATGCCATATGGCATTTCCTACCAGCCAATCGGAAAGTTAGTGAGAGATGTGTGTACTGCAGTGGGCTAGGACGAAAACCTAAAATTGATAAATTTCACATACACACACACACACACACACACACACACACACACACACACACACACACACACACACACACACACACACACACACACACACACATACATACATGTAGATCAAACTTATTTAAACATATATAATGATATAACAGATTATATTTTCAGATCAGACATCTTTACTTATCCTCACTTAAGAATCAAAATTAAGATGCGTTGTCACACCTGAGGACCAATATCTAATGCCTCGTTTTCAATAAAAGGGCACTACTGATACCAAATTCGAACTCTCAACTCTGAAGACTAAGATGAAATGCCTCAAATGCCTCAAAGCTTGCTTTATATTGGTAAGAAAAGCAATATAATTGATTAGTGTAATATGCTATATTAAAAAAAAACCCAAAATAATTGAAATGCCCTTAAGGATACAACAGCGGCTCCACGGTTGCTTGACTTGTCTAGCTTTGATTAGCTATCTGCGCGGGACAGAATTATAATGTACACATTTGTTCACAAAGACAGGTAAACTCAGTAGTTACTCGCTCTCATAGCCCGATGGGATGGCATTCCAACTTTATGTGCTTTTCGAGGCATGGGGCTAAAACGTCACCTTATTCTGACTCTGGACTGATACTGAGAATTTCTCGGCAGAAAAACCCAATAACTGATTTTGGCCCGACTCGGGTTTCGAACCTGGGAACACACCATCAACCACTAGGCCAACGGTGTAGTTAAAAAATAGGCATATGTGTAGATACCATCCCTACGTATTTATTGGCGGAATAGAAGAACACTGTTGCTATAAATATTTTCATTACGCTACTATTTTTTACGCTTATTTTTGAAAATCGTACACATTTACAAATAACAATATTATTACGATATAAATATTATTCAGTATTCTTACCAAACATAAAAAATACAAATCCCAACAGTGCTGCCCACATTGCGGTAGAGGTTTTTCACATATTATAAATTTGACATGCACAATGTTTTTGGTCACTTCACCTTATGCCACATATTCCAACTAAATGGTTTCACATTCGTTAAAAGTTTGGTTAGATTTCATACGTATTATCTATAATTTCATTAAAAAATAACAATTTTGTTTTTTCAAATTGAAGAACCTTGATTTATTTCCTTTATAACCTTCAATTTTAATATTTTTTGTTGTTAAATGTTCTATGTTATATAAAAATTACATGATAATTTAAAAAACACGAATCAAGATCCTTTGCATTATCAGCTATGACAGATTAATCTCTTACCCCTATCATATTACTCTAATGTCAATGACTAAAATATTTATTTAATTTTTTACTGCTTATTGCATGATACTTTATTTTAAGTTAAATTATTTATATATTTTATTAATATTTAGAGAAATTGATGTATTTTTAAAAATTAAATTTTAGTTATTTTATAAATTTCCTATTTAGACATTATCTCCGCATAAAACATGGTATTGAATGAGTTTTAAAGTCGTATTATATTCATTATTTTTAAATTACGCAAGGATCATTAAATAATCAAATAAATCCACTTTTAATTTATTGTTTTTTGGTAATAATTCTACAGAAGAAATTGCACTTTTAAAGTATTTTCTACAAAGACGTGAAAACGATGAGATTAACTAGACTTTTTACTGTTGTTCTGCTAATTATTAAAAACTATTTGTTTTAAATTTACTCATTGTTTGTCTTAATGTGGGGATTAATTAATTCGCGAACACAGAACATTTCGACGAGTCAGTTACATTATGAAGTGTTGTAATAATCATATTAATTTTATATTCATTATAAATTCTAATGTTAAAGTTGAAACGTAAACGTAACTTTCATTTGCACCAACTTTACTTGTAATTATTTTATTTGTAAGCAAATTGGCGTACATTCTATGTATACTTATAAATTGCATTTCTTTTTTGACACATTAATTGAGGAAACATTATGCCGCCACTTAATAAACAATTTCACTAAAAAACACTAAGGTTGCTTTTTCATCCCCAAGAAAATCAGTGCGTGACGCGTACTCAGGACGTACAAGCGAATTGGACTGTTCCAGGGGGCGGGCGAAATGACGCGGCGGTACGATCGCACATGCGCAGTAACAAGACTTTGCTTTGAACTTGTGAAATTGGTACTCGTAGGTGGCTTACTCTTTTAGTCCCTGGTAGTTTGGATATAAGTAAGATTTTTATGTGTATAAATGTATCGGCTAAATAATTTTATGCCTCAAGTTCCTTGTCTTTGAGGCGGAACGCATATTTTAATTGTTAAATTTTTAACTGATGGACGCTTAAAGTGCATCAAAATTTAATGTGATTTTGTTACTTTTTTAATGATTAAGCAAGCGTTTATAAATTCTATTAGTAGGTACGTGGCTACTGCAGTCCATGAAAACCCAAAGCCAACTAAAAACTAAGAAGTCTGTAGATGTGTTGTTACCTCTGAGGGCTAAGATAGAATGCCTATAATTATACAGGCCCTCTCTATCCTCCATCCTGGTATACAGTAGTTACAATCACTTCTATTCTGCGCCAGAGATACGTTAGAGACGTGTACTACTAGGTAGAAAGGAAGTCCTACCTGTCTAAAAAAATCTATAATAATAAGTTATTCCCTCATCGTCTCGTTATTACCGTATACAATCAGTTATGGAACGTACGGATAAGATTTTCATATGAATTTTTTATATAAAAATTAAGTGACAAAAGAATTTGTAGTCCACTTGATAAGTGGTTACTACACTGTCCATAAACACTTGCAGCCAACTTCTCCATGAATACTTGCATCCAACTTCTAATCATACTCTCGGCTCTTTATACTCGTCAGACTAGACCACAGCAGTGCAGGCGCTGCTATTTAACTGCAAACATAGTAAAGGCCACTCTCTTACCCATTTCTGCCATCTTACCTACATAGATGGAGGCTTAGCCAGAAAAAAAGAGTCCTATCATTTAATAAAAGTTGTGGAATATTGCCCCATTATTTGCTATATTCGAAATGTAATATCATGCTAATTTCTATACTTAGGTATATTTATTTTTAATTGTAAATATTTGTATATGTCTATAATATCTTTCGACTAATTTAGTCAGATATTCAATATTAAAGTTTCGTCAAAATAACTCGCTCAAAAAACAATCTAAGGTGTAGATAAGTCGAACCTTTTTATTTATCAGTCCATTCAGTCACAATTGGTTAAAAAATTTATAAATTTGTTGCATAAATTTTTAACTGTTACATTTATATTGTATTATAAGAAAAGTAACCTTTAGTGTAAAAATTGAAAAACTGTTTATAACATTTTATTACATATAATGTTTGATTATAATAACGCGTCCTAGAATTAATAATTTATTAAAAAAATTCACTGAACACAAGACTTAATTTCAAACTTTATGCATAAAATGTGGTTACTAACACGCACATATCACGCGAATTACAATGTAACGTTAGCGAGCTGAAAATTTATGGTCTGATCGTGTGGTTTAATATCAGCATCTTTTATTTTAGTGATTTTGTGAAGCTTTTTATCAATTATTCTGCGTGAAAATTTAATAATATTTTATATTGGTTTATGAGTGTGTCATAACTAAAATGTTTACAATCTGTAAAATATTAACACATTGGCTACAAAAAATAACGCTAAATGAAAAGCGTTAAAAAACGAATGAATTAAAAATAAATGAACTTCGGACGTTAACGATTGCGTGTATAATTGTATTAAAATGTAATTCTTTAAGTATGTATATTTAACGGAAAAACATGTATATTATACTTGTTTTAAAGGTAAACTAAGCCTAGAGTTGGATAGCAGCATCTGTCTCATAACAAGAGTTACAAATAGTCTCAATAAAAGATTCAAAGAAACGGCCCCCAGTCCGTGGCAGCGGAATTCTAGGCTTAAGTTGCATGGCAGGAGAAACTTGGTAACGGCGAGACAGATAAAGTATTTAGAATTATTATTGCCGGCAGAGATTCGGCTGTTAGCTTCGACAACTCGACCTGGTAACATTCTTAACGCACGCAACCAGAAGACTGAAGATTTGAATGAAGAGAAAAACAAGGTGCGCTGAAATAGGATAATCAAAGGTTCAAAGAGAGGGACGAAGAACGAGACATGGACACGATAATATTTGAAATTTGGCAAACTTGCCGTCCCGCTGATAGGGGCGAGTATTTGTCTTAGGAAGGTGT